TACATACTACATTTTGTTTACCTATTCATCTGCTGATGGACATCTGAGTTGCTTCTACCTTTTGGCTATTGTGAATAATGCTGCTATTAATATTGGTGTATAAATATCTTGATATTGCTGAATTCTATGATATGTAAAATGTATCTCAATAAAATTATTCTGAATTAAAACTTCAATTATTTTTTCAAAATTTAAAGAGCCAACAAATGGTAGATGCTGTTATTATCAATATCTTAAAGAATGGTAAATTTGATCAATGAAGTAGGTTTGTAAAAATTAATTTAATAACAAAGACATGTTCTTGGTTTAAAAATATATAGAAAATTACAAAGAAGAAAAGAAACACAATCCCACTTAGAGATAACCATTGAGAGATTACCAAAAAATTTACTAAATTTTTATTTTATTTATTTCAGCATATTATGGGGGTATATAAAATTTTAATTTTACTTGAAATTAGAAGGAACTGAAATGAAATGAAATTGCTGAACTTCAGGTGTTTATTCTCACAGAGATAATCATTCCTACACTATTAATATCTCTCGAAAGGCAAAAGAAATTATAAAAAGACACTCAGGTTGAATTGGAACACATGGTTTTTCTACTTCACTTCATGTTTCTTGGTGGCCAGAGTTTAATCCCCCCGGTGGACAACTGTTTCATAAAAATCAGAAGACATTTCTGGTGTTTAAACAAAAAAGCCCCTAAATTTTTAGATGAAAAACAAAAGAACAAAGTTTAAAAATTTAGCAAAGTTTTAGGATAAACTTCTAGAAGAAATTATTAGGGAATGATTAGTTCATAAGCAAAATAACGACAAAGAAGATGAATCACTTATTTAAAAAGCAGGAGGAAGTGCTTGTAGCTAGTGTCTAAAATAAATCCAAGAAGTCATACATCAATTCTGAATATGTCAGTGTTCTCCTCCCTCTGAATTATTTGGTTCTAATTTTTGAATATATCTGGCTCCAGCGTGAATTTTCTTACCCAGAAGTATAGAAACCACACATTTCATGTTCTGCTGTCTTTATTCACTGTATAAAATAAATACTTAAAACTTGAAAATAAGGCAAAAAGGTGGGTGGCATGCACTTTCAATGCCACATTGGAGAATTATTTAACAAGTCCACCTAAGGATTATTTAATTTTCTAGAAGAAATATTTTCTAATTTTGCTATTTAGATATTGTGAAGTTACATGTTAAGTTGTATTTTTCTACAGAAAGATAACCCCACAGGTTATGATTTTATTAGGCTGCAGGACTTTAACCAGTTTCATCTGTAATCTAGCAGTCTTACTTTTTGTTTCTGAGAATGCTTTTCCTGGTGGATTATATAAACCCCTTTTCCTCGAGTGCTCTTGCAAGAATCAGCTTTATCAGCTACTGAAAATGGTCCATCATAAACTAATGAGCTGAATAAAACCTTTGACATGTGTTCATTTTATATTTGCATGAGAGTCATAATTTTAACATTTTAACAATTATGCTTTGGTATAGCTGATACACAACTCAACTCATACATTCTCATCCCACTTACTCTTTAGGTACAGAAAAGCCACCTGGAGAACCTATTGAGAATACAGATGTCCCCCTTCCCAAGAGCCTAATTCAGAGTTCGACCTGGGCTTTGGTGCTATGCATTTTAATAAGCTTCTCAGGAGATTCTGAGGCTGGTGGTCCTCAGACTAGACAACTTGAGAAAATCCCCCAGTGAATTGGGTACTGGTGATGATCCTAATGTCATGTTGGTTCTCACTGTTCAGAGTGGATGAAGTTGGCTGAGCTCAAACATTGAGGCTTTAGGATGGACTGGAGTCTAACAGACCACTTTCCTAAATTTCAACTTGGAATCACAGTTGATCTTTGATGTTCATCCACCCCACTGGCTGTATCAGAATGGGGTGGGGCTAGGGGCACCCAGGAATCTGTATATATAGGTTGAATCACATGAAATCGCTGAAATTTGACCCCTCTTTATTGACCTTAGAAAAATGGCAGTTTCATATGGTTTGATCTAATAACTTCTCAGGTGTTTCTAACTTGCAGCTGGATTTAGCCCAACTTGTTAATATGACAATTGAGATGAGATTTTCAATATTTGGGGAAAATGCTTCATAGCCTTCATCAGACTTAAAGCAAAAATTTAACAACTGTCTTCCCAGGAAAAATGCACAAAGTACAACTTTTTGCATACAAGCTTAGAAGGATTTATGGACTCCTCGAAGGTCTAAGGACTGGTGATTAATCCTATTTTACAAGTTTTTTTTTGAGGGCTGCATTTCCTGAAGGCTACATTCATTAAGAAGAGTTTTGCTGCCACCTACTGCCACACATTAATAGTTCTTAAGCTGGGCTTGCTCTATTCCCGCCTTGTCAATGTCTTCCCAGAAGCTATCATCTCACACCAAGCGACAAAGTAGTCCAATTCTAGGTGAAAATGGGCACCACAAACCTATTTATTTATAATCCATGCATTGCATTGAATTATTGTTAGTACAGGGTATGGGGAAAAATTTGTGTTTCAATGGAACACTATGTGTTGTTTAGTCTAACGCACACCCTTAGCTGATTCTAAGGAAGTTTAGGGTAACAGGGTTGTATGGAATAGAATGACAGGGCTATCTGGTTCTAAGGAAGTTTATTTTACAACTCTGTCCTGCAGATCACTGGATAGCAGTACAAAATAATTATTTCTAGAAATGCAAATTATGTCCTGTTTGGGAGGTTCTCGACTCTCCTCCCCTACTGTGGAAGAAGCAAATTGTGCCTCCATTTGCATTTTGATTTCAGTATTTCTGGTCTGTTGTATGTGTTCTTTGGATTCTCCTTTGAACCAGTTATAACATATTCCTGGTTTCTTCATTAAGAGTTAAATAGGATCTTTCACATGTGCTTGTTTGGTATCTTATGATATTACTCTTCTTTGAAAATTAATCTTTAACAAGGGCCAAAAATCATATTAGATACCTCTGATTCCCATTTAAGAGAAGTCTGGCCCTTTCCTTGAAAGCTCACAGCTTAATTAAAAGAGATGTAAGAAATCCCTCTCCCCCTTCCCTACTGCTCCATTCAAACAGGAAAGACCCTATCTCATTGCCACAAGGGAGGTATTTGGCAAAACAAACAAACAACACAAAGGGGCTTGTAAATCTTTCTGGATTTTATTTTCCTAAAGCTTAAGTCCTTAAGAGAATTTAGAGAAATGGAGTGGGAGGGAACATCCAATGTTGGAGGAACTGAGAGGAGATGGGACTTTTCCTTCCGTAAAACAGTGACGTTACCTCAAACTGAGGGACGGAGAGAGGCAGGAGCAGTGAGCTGGGGCCCAGTGTGGAGCAAGGCTGGACTGGGAGGGCCCTGAAGTTGTGGTCCTTGGCTAACCCCTGTGGACTGTGTGTGTGTGTGTGTGTGTACAATGAATGAATTTGGCCTCTGTGTGTATGTGTGTGTGTGTGTACAATGAATGAATTTGGCCTCTGTGTGTGTGTGTGTGTGTGTGTGTGTGTACAATGAATGAATTTGGCCTCTAACTCTCTAGCCTATTTTAAATCCTCAGGTCTTGACTAACCAGGCAAGTTGCAGTCTTATAAACTCATTTGCGTTCTTGGGCTACACTTATTCATTCATTTAATTTTGGGGGCTACATTTTAAAAGTGAATAAAATACCAGAATGCATCAGACATAGTAAAAGCAAGCATTCCATTTTTTAGTCAGTACATATTTTTCCATCTATCTGTGTAATTTTAGTGTTGGTCAGGAGGGAAAATAGTGCAAAACACTGACCACCAAAGGCATTTTAAAAAGTAAAATTTAACTCCATTAGACTAGTTGCATTCAGAAAATCTGCTTTCTCTCTTTTTCTTCTTTCACAGTGGTTCCAAAGGAATCACATTAGGTTTGAAATAAATTTTCCTTTCAGGCTCCTAATCATTGTTGAGGGAAATGAACCTGGGATCAAGACAGAGGCCAGATCTCCTTGGACAAGTTTTTTGTTTTTTTTTTTTAAATCAATCTCTGCCCATGAAGTTAGAGCAACAAGTGGGAAAGTGGGAAGGATAATCTTTCAGGATTTTGTAATATATTTTTCAGTGTGGTTTTATTATTTAGTTTTCAAGAGTATAAATTCTGTAAAGATCAAACTCGCTTTTATATTAAAATGTATAAATCCTTTCCCAGACTAAGCACAAATTATTGGGATTTATACATCATTCCCTGACAAGGATACAATTATCACTTTTATTTTTGTCTCTGCTGATCTTAGTATAAAAGTTAATTTTTAAAATGTGACAACAGGGTAACAGAGATCCACAGAATGGACTAGAAGAAAGTGTTGAGAAGTTATCTGAAAGAAAACAGAAGAGAAGTAGAATATTTTAAAAACATTTTATTGCTTGCTTTGGTATTAATAACAGTATTTCACTTTTGGAACTTTTATACTCCACTTAGGGAAGTTGAGTCTATTTTAGAAAAGAGGGGTTGACCTATAGGAAGTGTTCTAAAAATGCTTTTAATAGCCCTACAATAGAGACAGCTTTACTGAAAACCCCATTCAGGAAGTTTGCTAAGGAGAGGGCAGAGAGAGCTATATATCCCTTTGGTCTTTACTTATTGGAAATAAATTCATGCTGTTATCTGGTTTCCCACTTTCAGTTTATCTGTTTTTCTCATTGGACCTAAAGTGGCTGTGGAAAAATCTGCCTCTTTGGGCCTGCTTTTATGTGCTGCCAAAGTGAGCACCCTGACTTTGTATTGTAAAATGCTGTCTTAAAGGCCCCAGGGCAAAAACCACAGCCTAAACAGAGGCTGAAATGAATCCTCATTTACCATTTCCAGAAGTGGCAAGATATTAGGTCTTTTCATTTCAAGTGAAAACTAGTGCCTGTAATTGTTCTTCTCTCCTGACATGATGAGTTACACAGTCCCCAAAACAGAACGATGAAGCAAAAATCATAGTCCAGTTTCTTCATTAAAAACCACTTGGGATACTGCTTATATTTTAATATATATTTCATTTTAATTAAGAGTGCTTTCTTCTTAAGACATTGGTGCAATACACAGGCTGATAAGGGAATAAGAACAGAGAGGAGGGGGTAAGTGTGTCAGTCTGGCATTTGTTTTCTTCTAAATTAATAGTCAATAAGGTGCTAAAGATCACTGTTTTGGTCGTATCCTTGGAAAAACTAAGGCATGATCTAAAACCCCCAAGTGCCTTTGTGAGATAAATGTGAATCCACATTTATAACCTGTGTTTAGAAAGAATAGCTCACAGTTACCTTAGTACTAAATGTAGTAGAGACCCTGCTTATCCCAGTCCTTCCTTCTTGCAGCCAGCCCTGCAATTCAATCAAACGGAGCCACTGGAGGCCATCTGAGGCTAAGCTGTGGGGGAAGCAGCGCTTGTTTTATGAGCAGTGTCCCGGCTGATGGTGGGGGAGTGGTGGAGGGCGTGCTGCATGAATCTGGGCAATTCCTTTAATCCCCCCCTTCAACACAACCAGCGCTTCAGGCACTGATTTTCAGTCTTTCTGTGATTAGGACCGCAGCCCCCATCTTTGCACTCACTCCCTCTTGCAAAGCACATATTTTCAGAGTCCATAGGGATTAGGAAACTGCTCACAAATTCTGTGGTAATACTAACATCTAAGCAACAGCAGGCTTTTTGATAAGACACGTTGACCACTGGATGCGTTTCAATTTTCAAAAGTCAGATTTCATTCCATAGCTTGTCAAACAGTTACAGAATTATAAGCCTCCCTAGATTCATAAAGTATCTTTCTTCATAGAGCCAAGCATTAATAAATGTTACCCATTAATAATATCTAAATTTCAAATTCTAGTTTCTATTTTACAGGTAGATAAATGGACACAAAGACAAAACTGATTTGCCCATGGTCAGTCAGGAGTAAAATTTGTCTTAGGTCCTAATGTAGTGGTCTACATGCTAAATTACACCACCTCTTCAGCCCTCTGGGAACATAATCCTGGAACCTTGTATAAGCAAAATGGGCCCAAAATTACATTCTCACCAGAGAAATTAATTGGATAATTCATCAAGTGTGAAAATAACATTAGAATGTTCTGCATAATTGATCAAGGACTTTCAAATAAATCCATTATAAAAAATAACCCCTTCGGGCAAATAAATAAGATTAAAATTCAGCATAACAAATTCACAAAAGTTTCAATTTAGCTTAAAGTGAGAACTACAATTCCTGTTACAACACAAACATTATAAGTTTCCCCAAAGAATTTAAGACAACTCGATTAAAGTTGTTCAATTTTTTTAGAAGATTTTTAAAGAGAAACCAAACTTGAAATCTCATTAAAAGTAACACATATTAAGTAATAAAGCAAATGTAACAAAATGTTATCACTGATGCTTGGTGGAGGATGTTCATTAGACAAGTCTCTCAACATTTCTGTATGTTTGGGAAATTTCATAATAAAGTGCTGAGGAAAAAAAAACCAAAAAAAGTAGTATGCTTTACCATCTAAAATTAACACGACAAATAAGCTACCAGAAATTGGTCTTCAACTATTGCTTTCATTAAGTGTTCATTATTACATATTTAAGTATGTCACCAGGCACTGTGCTAAGGGGATTCAGCAGTAACCAGAACATGTCCCTGTCCCACATACAGTTTACCTTCTGGGGGTGCTAGCGTAGAAGACAACTATGGCTATTCCTGCTTTGGTGAGTTTCCAGGAGTAGGAAAGAACCTACATTCAGAGCTGCAAATCTCAAGAGCAGAGAAGCACACCCCACCTTTCCTCTCATCTTAAAGGCAGGGCTAGTGTCCTGCTGAGAAAGCACTTTAAGAGGGGAAAAGGAGCACCACACCTCCTCATACAAGAAAATGTTTTTCCCATCTAGAATTATTTTTCAGAATTTTCTAATAACTTGAATTTTCTGGGGAAAAAAAAACCTTTAAAACATTGAAGACATAGATGAAATTTAGTGAAACAATTAGGTATTTCCTTGCAAATATTTGTCATTGACTAAAAATGAAGGCAGTTATCCAGTGGCAGATCCATCCAATTTGATTTCATCAAATCATCTTCCTGGATACTGGAAATTTGGAAGTGCCAATTCCATTCTATAGACACAACAGCAACTCAGAAACTAACTATAGTCTGTCGTGACTCTGGAAATTTAAAAAGAACGTATTTCAAAAGAAAAATACACAAGATTATTTATTGTTCCCTTTTCACTTCATTTTCTTATGGCATTGCACTGCAACTAGGCATCACAAAAAACACTTAATGGTATTTTATATAAAACAATGAGTAGAATTTAACTGAAGCAAGCCAAGAAAAGAGCAGTGTTAGTAACTGAATAGAAGAAAAGTACTTCAAAGTGGTAAATTAGAAAACTCTAATAATTTAAAATGTTTTCTGGTCACCAGAAAGTTGTAGATTCCCTGGGTAAAGGAATGATAAACAATTGCTACTCTGTAAAAAGAATGCATTCTAACTGCATGCACAATTCATAAGTAGCTCTTAGTTTAAGATTTACTGGCATGAAAACAGTAATTTAATGGAGAATGTAATTTTGTACCAGTCACAAAAATTAATTGCAAGAGGTTATCCAACATCTTTTTACATTAGTCTATCATTAGGGTAAAAAATCCAACTTCATTCTATTTTTTTTCTCCAATTCATACCAAAATTAAAAGTTGAGTCATAATGTAGTAGAGCCCAGAGACTGTCATTGCTGTTAAAATATAGTAATAAACTACCAAATTACAGATCAATATTCAGACCTTTGCCAATACCAAAATGTATGACTTGCAGCAAGTTTCATCCAACATCAGGTTGGACGTCTCTGGAAAAATGGAAAACATTAAAAATACACAGCCCAAATGCTTGTAAACCAACTGGGTGAAACTAGCATGTTTAAGAGTGGGATAGAAGATTTGAAAAATATAAGGAAGAAACCAGCTTTCCAGGTTCAGACCTGATTCTGAGTTAAAAGTCTTATCTAAAGTTTTCTATTTGGAATGACAGCTTGACCATTATTTCTACTCTGTATACACAATAACCAGCATAAAATAACTGGTTGGTTCATTACAAAATGCTGAATGTTGGAGGTTAAAAAAAATTGCTCATTTAATTAAAATGTGACCCAGCTGATGGACACTAAATTGAAGTAAAGTATTAGTGTCAGCAAAGAGTAAGTTAAAGCCATTTTCTACTGGCAAAATCCTTTGATGAGTATTGTCAATGTTGTGCTGGTTAGAACTTATTTGCTTAAGACAGAATTTTATGGAAGGAGGGGACCACAGAAACATCTAGTTCAACTCATTTTACAGATGGAAAACTTGAAGTTAAGAAAAGCTCAAGTTAGGCAAAAAATACATTTTTGTTTTAAGATTCCTGAGTTAGTGGAAAAAAATAATATAACCAAGGCAGGAAATGACTCCTCTTAGTATCTAATGCACAGCCATGCTTTTAATAGAAATTTGACCAGGAAGCTTTTAAATATCATTTCCTTTTTTGGGAAGGGAGGGGGGTTTGAATGTTTTGTGGCAACAGTTAATTTTTTTCTGATAAAAGTACATGTTTATTGTAGAAAATGTAAAAAATGTAAGAAAGCAGAAAGAAGAAAATAAGACATCAAAAATAGTTTAGTATATTTCCTTCAGGCTTTTTCTATGCATATACAAAAATATCTGTTTACTTTTTAAATGGAACTTGACAATTATTTATTTATTTAATTATTCATTCATTTAAAAACAATGAACAGCAGCAGTACAGATTCCCCTACCTCAAGGTCGCAATGATTCTCAGGAGCTAGTTAGAAAGCATAACTAAGAGATACACATTGCCAGGGAATAAACTGGTAACCAGCCATGACCCTGTGGTACTAACAGTGGCACAGGGAAACAAGGTCTCTGCTTCACTTTTATTTTCACTCTATAACAAACTCACCAGTGCAAGAGCCTAACAGTGAGGCTGAGAGGGAGAGTAGAGAGAAAAACAAAGGGAAGTTCAAAGTGACACTTGCTAGGGCTGCCTGGAACCAAAAACCAGCTTCCTCTTGAAATTAAGGCTGATGTTGAAATGCTACTCAGGGACTCTGATGTGGCCTCTCTGGAGATACACCATCTCTCATTACCAGACCACTTCAAATTATCTTGTGTAAACCTAAGAATGGATGGATCCTAAGATCCTTTACAAGAGCCTATACTAGTTGTGGGCTTCCCTGAGAACTAGATTTCACTATATTTTATATCTCTAGGCCTTTAAAAAATATATATAATGGCACAAAAATCTCTCCATATCAGAAACATCTGGCCAATTCAATACATTCCATAGGACCCTCCTGAGAACCTGCAGTGAAATGTTGGACAAAAGCAACCTACCCAAGCTAAGTTGTGATATAACCACTATGACTTTCAACCTTGGCTTGGTGACCTCTCAGGAACCTCTGATGACCTCCCAAGTTAGGAAATTAATTTTGTTCCATTTAATTGAACTAAACCAGAGGGTACTCAAAAGAAACTGAATTCTGGCTCACATATTGCTTCTCTCACCACCAATGAGATGCCCCATTGGTTGAGTCACTTTAATTTTCATGTTGTTGATTGTGTGTGCACATCTCCTTGTCACGTAGGCATTAAACAACTGAAGACATATGCAGAGCTATGAAATTCACTTTGCACTGAATAGACAAAAAGGGTTACATAGCATAACACTGAGCAGTTTGTATCCACATGATTCTCAGCATTATAAACTTTGGAGAAGATGCTACTTCATGGTCTCAAGGACATAGGTTAAGCAAGGCCGAATGAAACACTTAAAACAAGTATTATTCAACACACAACATTTTTACACTAAATAAGTAAGGTTATTTTAGGGTTTAAACTAGTCTTTGAATATCCTTAGTAACAATATGGAGGAAAAAAATGGGGTGAATGAGAACTTAAGCTTTCCAAGGATTATGGCTCAAATCCTCTGGAATCTAAGAGGTGAAATAAAATGAGAACTCAACTCTCTAGAGTAATAACTCTTCTTGCTGGTACCAGCACAAGGCAGTAGTGACTCTCACGTTTAATATATTACATATGATACTATAAAAATAAGCTGTAGTTTTAAGAAAAGTCCATTATTATTAGAGGCTTGAGCTTTAGTACTCTGACTCTGGGCTTTCTGACAATAAAACACACTGGAGCAAAAGTCCATGAAGTACTAAGAGGTATCCTAATTGACAAAACAGCTGCTCCAACATGCCACAGGCACTCCAGGCATAACATTTCTGAAAAAGCATAGAACATGTAGATGCTGAAGAAAAACAGCCTCAGTTCCATTTCCAACAGGAAGAAATGGTAAGTAACCTCTTTTACTACATTCACTAGTAGGTATTACATCTTGCTTTCCCAGTGCTTTTTGTTTGTTTGTTTGCATATTATGAGCGAGAACAGCACAAGGAAAGGCACTGTTTTCTCCAGATAGTTTTTTTTTAAACAAATGAAAGGATGCTATAGCCCTGTATCAGTACTTCGTGGCTGAAAACCCTCCCTCCGAAGGCTACCCATGTCGAAGCGGGTAGAGACCTCACAGCGTACTAATAATGTGTCATCCTTAATAAAGGTTCTTTGTTTTAGGGCTTCCAGATGCATAAAAGTTACATAGCCAAAACCTTTTGGGTTCCGTGGGATTGTGGGTCGCTGGAAGGCAAGCAGCTCTGGTTTGGCATCCATTATCTCTTCATGGTTTTGCCTTACAGGTGCTTCAGACTGATCAAGAATTGTAAGGCGTATTGTACCCTGGAAGGGCCAAGGGAGGTGGCTGTCATACTCTCCTTGCATTGTGTGGACAAAGAGGGATATATAGTTTGCACAGCGCTGAGCAGTTGGTAACTGAAGATGCAAACGCATGCAGAGTTTGTACCCAGGTTTGCCTGTGTAGAATCCAGGGCTATGAATGACAACTGGTCTCTCTTCTTCTTGAGATTTCAAGTACATCCCAAAGTTGCCAATCTTCCAGATGTAAATCCCATTGCACTGTTGTGCTTCAATTTCAGCAACTTTGTCCTCAAGGGATCGAATAGTTCGTTTGAGCTCACCTACATACATGCTCTGAGTTTCCATTTTAGCAGTCAGCTCCCGAATTTGATGATCTTGTCTTACAAGGCGACCTTCTAACTGGTGAATGGTTTCCTGGAAATTTTGGACTTCTGGGTGACACCCAGAGGAAACCCGGGATAGAGAGGCAGGATCATAGGGAGTTAAAGTAAGGCTTAAACTATGAACAGCCTGGGCCAACATTCTCATGTGCGACTGGGTGTTCTCCTGTAGGTGGCGTGCCAAGTGATTCCTCTGCATCTAAAAATCAAGCACAAGCCTTAGGTTGGGAATAGACACCTATCGTGAGGCCTAGGAAAAGGATCTGCCCAGGCCAACTAAGAGGTTTTTAAGTTGCAGCACCACTTCCTTCAATCCTCTACAACTTTCCTTTGCCTTCATCAGATTTTTGATCCTGCCTCTTAATTCACTGAAAAACTGAGACTATCTGATGACTACTTCCCCAGCTGTCACTCAGATAAATTTCCCTCCCACCTACAAACATGTCTATATCTACACCCATCCTTCTCTTCTGACTCAGAGAGGTCTCTCCTCTTGTCCAAGATTAGTGTTCTACCTGTGCTCTACATGGCACCCAACCCTGACCCTTTGTAACATATCCCAGATGTTTTACTCTATGATCTCTTTTATCTTCAAACATCTCCTCCCCTAACCCTTTCCCTCAGAATATAATTATTAAAATCTTTCACGTTTAAAAAAAAAAGGCTAACCTCTCTACTGATCATATGTCTCCCTCTAGTTAATACCAGTTTCTTCTTTTTCCTTTTAAAGCCAAGAACAGTGTATCTGCATCGTCTGTAATTCTTCACTTATTACACAAATCTATTGCAAATTGGAATCTTTCCTGTCTCTGTGCTATTCTAAGGTCATCAAGAACATTCTAATTATTATATGAAAAAATATCCATAACATGACAATTTTTTATTTTAAAAGAAACTCATGTATATTATAAAAAATAGAAAATATATATGATCAAAAAGAAAATGTTACCTATTATCTCACCTACTTCCATAAACATTTTGATGCATTTCTTTCAAGTCTTTCTCTAAGCACATATATACAGAATTTTTCCAGAAAATACAACCATACCATATACTATGTTGCTCATTTCAATTTTTAAAGTATTAAATGCATGTTTATCATAAATAAGCCAGAAAAAAAAGGTATAATGGAAAAGCAAAAGTGTAATTGCACTTTCCAGAAAGAATGACTTATTGTAAATAATGACCTTTCTCAGAGATTTGATACTACTGATCACAAGTCTACAAACTAATTTTGAAGACCATAACAATAATTTCTCTTTGCCTGATTCATCTGTTTCTTATACTGTTCACTCATGGCTCCTTTCCTTGGGAGTCTTCTTTCCTGTATATATGCTATATAATCTCAATTATACCTTGCATTATTACAACAAATTACCTCCCCAAATCAATATTTTGAGTCTCAATTCTCTTTGGAGCTTAAGGCCACACATACAGTACATGTCAGTCATCTCTACTTTGGAGATAGATGACAGTCATCTCCACCCAGCTGGGTGAATTCATATCTGCAACTCAATACCATTAAAACACAACTCATTTTTTTTCTACCTCTGCCTCCAATCAGTTCTTCCTGTGTGCACTCTTTTGGCTGAATGGCCCTTCCATCTATCTGGTGACCAAGGCCAGAAACCAAGAGTCTATCTAGATATCTCCCTGTCCTTCACCCATCATACCTGTTTAGTCACACAGTCAATAGATCTTCCCTCCTAAATAAATACTGGCTTCTAGGGCTATCTTCACTGTTATCACCACAATTCATGCTGTCCTCATCTGAAGCGTTGGTATTCCAATAGCCTGGGGATTGCCACCCCCACCCCACCTCAAATCATCTACATTACTCCTGGGTTGAATAACATAAAACAAACTACTTGCTGTTCTTCAAATCACCATGCCCGCTTGCTCTCACCAGTCTTCTCTCTCCTGTCATCATGGACAAATGTTTTTCATCTGTTAAGACTCAGCCCAAACATCATGTTTTGTCAAGACTACCTGAATGCTTTGGGTATTGCTAAGTGTGCCTTTGCATTTGCCCACAGCATCCACATATGACTCTATTAGATAATTTATCACTTTCATGCAGTGTATCCACCAAAAAAATAATTTATCACACTGTGTAATAAACATTTACACTCTTGTTGCTATTCTCTACTACACTATAGAAGTGAATATTCCTGATTTATATCCAAGAATTAAAAGAAAAAAAAAACTTACCTTTTCATGGCAACCAAAAGTACTGAATGCACATGGAATTGGAGCTGTAGGGCAGTCTAGGTCATAATGATTAGGCATCTAAAATCCAAAACAAAGGTTAAAAAATACTTTTCCCTGCATCTCATATGTTCCAGTTTGATAAGATCACACTTAAAATGAAGATTTACATTTTACCTAAAAAAAACTATGCATTATTTACGGCTGCTTTTGTGTCACACTGGGAGAGCTGAATAGTTGCAAAAGAAATTACATAATTCTGAAAGATTAAAATAATATTTATTTCCAAAAGTTATACAGAAAGGAATATCAACATCTCATAACATTCCCCTGCTAAATTACTCAAAATTCATTTCAAGAAAATGAATGTGTTCCTCTTGCTGGGAACTGGCACCCTCTAGTGGCATTTTGGAGAAAAAATTGCCTTATGATAACTACAACTTTGATAAACTCAATCAGGACTTCAACTGTGGTCTAGGCCATTTAATAGGAGCCAGTCAACTATATGCACTGAAGCCATAGACTACATCCATTACTTCCCTCATGATCACCTTTCATAAATCATCTTACTTTTTATTAACTGGGGTATATTTTAGCTATACTGAGAAGACTCATATTAGAAGGTACTTCAAAGCACATTAGTAAAAGCTCTAAAGAAAGTCTCAGTCCTTGATTTAGGGACTCTAAGACACATTCTTTCAGGCAAGATCCATTACACAAAATCATTTTATTTGAAAGTGGTGCCAAATTCCCTTTAGAAATTTAGTTTGGCTATAGTTGTAGATATTTCAAGCAGAAACAACCTTAGAGACCATTTAACCCAATCCCTCATTTCTCAAGAAGAAACAATCTAGAACAGGGAACAGCAACATTTTTTGTAATGGTTCAGATAGTAAATACGGGCTGTATGGTCTCTGTTCCAAGTATTCAACTCCACCATTGTGGTGCAAAAGTAGCCATACACAATACATATACGTGGCCATGGCTATGTTCCAATAAATATTTATTTGGAATAAAAATTTATTGGACAGATCTGGCTAGTGGGCCAGTTTACTGATCCCTTATCTAGAATGTCAATTTGGCAGAGATCAGGTGGCAAGTTAGTACTACAGACTCAAACCCTAGGTTTTCTCATTCTTAGCCTAGGGTTTTTTCCTACATTAAATTTTATTTTTGCTGGGTTTGAAATATGCTGCATGGCTTCCTTTAAATACTAAAAGAGAACAAAAAGGAACACCAGGGAGGTGAGACTTCATAAGCAAAAAGAGGTTTAACATCTTCAAATTAAGGCTTCCTTGGAAAAAACTAAGAGATTCTGTTAACAGACAAATGGAAAACTTTAGTCGTGAGACAGGTTTTGCTTGCTTCTACTTAGTAAGGTAAATCAATAATGATCTTTGGGTTTACAGATTTCATAGGTGTGTAAATATTTAGTGACTAATATTCATATTTTGTGGGTAAACTCCCCAATATCAGAAGATAGCAATCAGATGGAATTTTTCTTACTCTATTAATAATCAAAACATATAGTTCTCTATTATAACTGCTACTTCTAACGATGCCCCATCAGTGGCCTATAGGATAACTGAACAGAAAGGTTACAAGTCCTGGCAACCTCCCTATAAGCCTCAGGAGCTACAGCTACAAATGATGTTCTTCTACTGAACAGACTTGCTTTCTTCTAGGGAACAGACATTGCTCCCTCATATTCTTTCAGCTGGTCTCTGGACACCTAAGATTCTCAATTCACAATGTGTAAACACATATTTCTTAAAGCTTTTTCTTTCTTTCAATGGGGACCCTTACTTTTGATTATTTTTATCTTAAAATTGTCTGGTGGTATTAGAAATTTTCATGAATATACAAAAACACAGGTATTATGTTCATGACTTAAGGAATTGTAAGTTTACAAAGGGCTGTTTTGATCTTTCTGAAAGTATTAATTTATATACAAAATTTTCACACAGCTCTAATACTTCTTTAACCTGTATTCCTTTTTGCCTCACTGATTTAAATTTTCAATTAAAAAACTATGTTTAAACGATTTATGAAAATATTATTTTATGAAAGAGAATCGTTGTACCTGTTCTCTGATGAGCATGGTATTGCAGTATTCACAGATGACATTTGCCAAAGGACAGTTCTGGTCATGGATCTGAATTTTATTAGGAAAAAAAACATAAGAAAAACATGAGACAATCTGAAAAAGTAAAACAATCAATTTTTATAAAAAGTAATTTTTCACTATGAACAAATTAAGGACATTGGTTTGTGTAAAGCAAAAATGTGAGAGTAATATATAAAGGATATTTTCTTTCCTTTTGCCAATGTAATAATGAGATTCATTCAGTCTTATAGCTCTTTAAGAGAATATGGTAGTACATAAAAAGGAATTTTTAAAATTGCTTCCTTAGCGGCAGAGCATCTATGACTACTCTGCACATCATCTGCCAATGCTATAATTCTCCAAAGGCAATCTTCTTCCAAAAATTTTCAGCAGTAGCATGACAATTTAATTAAAATTCTTGTCAATTGGGTTAAAGAACAAATATATATTAGGGCATGAAGGTTTGGTGCCCAGGTTCTCATATGTACCAGAAGGGTGAGCCTTGTTTTCTAGAATATGACGACTTTAGTTTAGCTGATGTCATGAGAAATAATTAACCTTCCAGGTTAAGTCCATCTAATTTACTGAAGTTTAGAAACATGTCAATTTGCTCTATTTATGACTGAGACTTCGCCACATATTTAGGAAGTTAGCTTTTTTTGAATATTTTATCAACATAAGGAGTATAATATGCTTGATTTCATAATAAAGTAGAGAAATATCAGCACAAACTCGTAAGAACTAAGGTTCCTCGAGGAAGTATCTAAGTAATAGTAATACAAAAACATAAATTATATGTAGGTTATTTGAGTAAAGAGAACACAAAATAGAAATTAAGGGCTAGGATTTCAGTGTTAACTTTGTCACTGACAATATTAATTTAAAGCTACTTAACCTCTTTATATCTCAGTTTCTGAATAGAAAAATTGCTCTATCATCATGACACTGTCAGGCACCATGAAGTTTCTTTTTTTTTTTTTTTGAGACAGAGTCTCGCTTTGTTGCCTAGGCTAGAGTGAGTGCCGTGGCGTCAGCCTAGCTCACAGCAACCTCAAACTCCTGGGCTCAAGCGATCCTTCTGTCTCAGCCTCCCAAGTAGCTGGGACTACAGGCATGGGCCACCATGCCCGGCAATTTTTCCTATATATATTAGTTGGCCAATTAGTTTCTTTCTATTTTTAGTAGAGACGGGGTCTCGCTCTTGCTCAGGCTGGTTTCGAACTCCCGACCTCGAGCAATCTGCTTGCCTCGGCCTCCCAGAGAGCTAGGATTACAGGCGTGAGCCACCGCGCCCGGCCTGAAGTTTCTTTTTAAAAGATGCTTTATAATTGAAGTATTACATACTGAAAAGTGAATATACTGTGTGTGTGTGTGTGTGTGTATCATGATGAATTATCATCAAGGAAATACACACTGTGGGATTTAATTTAATCTTTGTAATAACCATAAAAACCCATTCTCATTTTCAAAATAATTCTGTGTAAGTCTTATAAAGTAATCATTCTACTGGTTTGTTTTCAATCCAAGATTGGTCATTAAAGTATTATATCACTTAGGAAAGTTAATCAGCATATGCCTTTCCTCAAGGCTTCTGTTACTTGCAGATCTATAACAGTGATAACTAGTATAAACAATGTTTTCTAAGAAAAATATGCAACTATAAACTCTACTCTTCACTTACCTACTTAAATGGTTTACTGTATTTTCTTTTCTTTCTTAAAAATCAATTTTCCCCAAATTGATAATGTCAACTCAGAGTTGGAATCACATCTTTATCTACTGCTAACCCCCTCAATATACATTAAAAAAAATTTTTTTTTAAGTAGTGGAATTAACAAATCCAGGTTAGTACATGCCTCTTTATCTTCAAATGCCATCAATACAGCACAATTTGCACAAGAAACCTGTCTCCTTGGACAATCCTTGAGAATGTGAATATTAATTTGGCATTTTTGGAAGGGACGTTGGCATTGGGGACAATTCATAAGAGCAAACTCACAATGTGCTTGATGATCCTATAATAAGGAAAAAAAATTGATTAGTACACTGTCGCCAACTCTGAAGAAGTCCTCTAAATATAATCTCTTCTAAGAATATACTGTTTTCTTTTATAGAATTGGCTACTGAATCTACTTTCTCTAGGACACATCATAGAACCATTCACAATATGAAAGCTTGAATAAATTTTTTCAAATAATAATTGTAGACTGCAAGTTTACACAAAGAATGTGAATTCTCAAGTTCATGCATCCAATTAGGGAAGAAAGTTGAAAAGAAGTCAGGTGTCCTGATTACCAGTTTACTACTGGTAATCAATACAGAAAGGCCACACTTTTAAAAAGAGCTGAGTAAAAGAAGAAAGTTGCAAATCTATCTTAAACATTTAATTTCAAACAGAGTATTAATAATACTTATTACTGATAAAAATCACCAAGCTAAGAATTTATTTAATTTAAAAGCAAATTCTTTTATTATCTGATTGGTTCAGTTAATCTCAAATCTAAAGAAGTATTCTAGTTAGTGCATAAAACAACGCAAAATTTAGAAAAACAGGAGGAAAAAGTATGATGAGGATACTGAGATGATTACTACAAGGAACTTATTATTGCTTATTTCAAATTGAACTTATTGCTTATTTCAAAATGAAAGAAATGAAGTTATGAGATTAAAATGTGACACTTATATTTAAAATGCTTGTCAGTTTTATCGCAGAGAATGGTCACCCAAAAAACTTATAAAAGAACACTGATTTTTTTTTAATTATCATTGGGGCAAAGTAAGAATAGTTGGAATAAGAAATTTCTAGTTTCTACTTATATTTATATTCAATAAACAAAGGGTTGGTATTAATTCATCAAAAATTTATTAACCAATTATTATATGCTAGGTACTGGCAATACACAGATGGACACAGTAAAGTCCCTATTCTCTAGGAACTGCCTTTTGTATATGCTAATAGCTAGAACATAACTTTAATACCTCAAGATGCCTCAGTTCCATCTTGTGCAAACAACCTTCATTTGGACACCTCACCATCAGAGAAAGAATCTCTCGTTTTGCAAAATTGTCAGGAAATAGTTGAGTTTCCAGCAGTATTTCATTGTCAACTGGACATTTGTGACCTGCATCCCTTAAAAAGACAAACAATATTTATCTAATTATATTTATTTATTTATTTTAAGGTTTTTTTTTGAGACAGAGTCTCATTTTGTTGCCCAGGCTAGTGTGAGTGCCGTGGTATCAGCCTAGCTCACAGCAACCTCAAACTCCTGGGCTCTAGCAATACTTCTGCCTCAGCCTCCTGAGTAGCTGGGACTACAGGCGTGCACTGCCATGCCTGGCTAATTTTTTCTATATATATTAGTTGGCCAATTAATTTCTTTCTATTTATAGCAGGGACGGGGTCTTGCTCAGGCTGGTTTTGAACTCTTGACCTCAAGCAATCCGCCTGCCTCGGCCTCCCAGAGTGCTAGGATTACAGGCATGAACCACCACGCCCGGCTCGTCTAATTAGATTTAAACATTCACATTAGGAAATGTTTAACATTACATTGTATATATAACATTAACTTCTGTATATATCTTATATATGGTTTATATATATATGACATATATAAATTCTCCTTTATTATTCCTAAGGAAAAATAATTTAACACATTATATTGCATAATGTCACCAAAATAAATTGTCCATTTTATGTACAGCTTATGAACTGTCTGTACACCTAACACCACATTGATTACCTATCGAAAACCATGGAATTTTAGATTATGGGGTGGATTCCAGCTAATAAATGAAAAAAATTAACTGAATAAAATCATATTTTGATTGGCATAAAATGAAGTGAAAGTTAAGAATGGGAATTTTGGTAGTCTGGCTGGCCTCTGTTCCATCAGCACCTATACAATACACTAGCAAGATGGAATACACTATTCATAATACTAATATGACTATAGTGTCATATTATTATCATAGTGCTCAATCATAAGTAAAAATTTAACCAATTAGCAGTACCCTCATAAGGTCACAATTTTAAGGTTTACTCTGATATAGTTACAACACCCTGGCTCATGGACAACAAAGGTTTTCCTTTATTTGTATGCCTAGGGTACAATGTGATTAGGAGTTAAAGGACCTCTATGTCCTGCTTTCGAGTGGTTTATTCTGTCTTATGATGGAAAAAACCATCCTCAGGAAGCTTGGGTGTCTGTCAATCCCCTTTAACTTTTTGGGATGTCTCAATCTTCACTCACAAAATGTGACAGGCTGGGTGGGCTACAGGGGGCGTAATCAATCAAACATTTGCTCAGTACCTGCTGTGCTCAACAGTGCGACGTGCTGTGACAGGTAAAAAGGTGATTAAAAAACAGTATCTGCTGTCAAATGGCTTAGAACTAATAAAGGTGAGAGACAGAGTTGTTCTTTATGGGGCCTCTCTCAGACTGCATCATGTTATTATTGCACTGTCAACTATTCCTAGAGAAGCAGAGAAAGTCATAAACAAATTTACTGAAATATGTACCCCTAAACCTAAAGTGATATATGTCTAAGAGAAAAGATGAATTTTAGAAAGTAAATGAAAACAATGATCCACAGAATTAGCAATCAGTCCAAAAGAAAATGAAATGGGATTGAGATGTATTTTGAATCCTTGAATGACTATAACTGATGAGAAATTTCAAAGCAATTCCTTTAAAATATTAGAACCAAAGTAGTCATTCTAGCTTAGAGGGAGATAAAAAAAAAAAGTCTCAGACTTCCTTTTGTGGGTTTTATTTCCCTTTCAGATCACTGTCCACTACTTTCACGAATATCTTAACTATTAAAAAGCTGAAGATAGCTGACACTTGGTAAAATACTATACTTTTCTACCTACAGGAAAATCAACAATCCATAACAATCCATAATACAGTACAATGTTTACCTAAATATAAATAGGGGCAATTTTGCCCCCAAGGGGACATTTTGGGTTTCACAACTGGGGGAAAGGAGGATCTTACCAGCATCTAGGGTTGCTACTGAAGATCCTACAACACACAGGACATTCTCCCACAACAAAGAACCATCTGGCCGAAAATATCAACAGTACCAAATAGCCCAAAATATCAATAAAGGTTGAGAAAAACCGTAAACAGTTCTTGTTAACACTGGGTAACACATTTTTCCCAAAAATTGAAACAAGAGACATGCTTCCTTGTAACTTAAACTAAGCCAAGCTGAGTATGGATATAGTTACTCTAAGTTCAAGTTTTATAGAAAAGTTAATGTAAAAGTTGAGACATAAAAACTTAGGAGACTAATGAGTTGCCAGAGATGGACTTAACCTACTTAAGAATTCCACCAAGATAACTAGATGGCTATTTATTGAAAAACATAAAATCTGTTCCCCTTCATCTAATTTTTTGTCTGTATAGAACTTAGTTATCTAAAAATATTCCCATTTACCTTTTAATTATAGTAAAATGTGTCTATTTCTTGGAAGAGGATTTGAATCATTTGTGGAAATCCCGTGTACTGTCATTCAGTTAAAACAACCACAATTTACTGAGCACTTACTGTGGGTCAGCCACTGTTCCTGGCACTTGGGAAATAGCAAGAAATAAAACACATCTAAACCTTTGTGCATAAGGAGTTTATCTTCCAGTGGGAAGAGCAGACAATAAACACATAAACTTTCTGGTGCTTTATAAGGCAGAAAGTGCTATGGAAAAAAAGAAAAGTAGAGCCTGGTAAGAAAGATTGGGAGTGTTGGGGCGAGCAGGTGGAGGCATGCTGTCGTATAAACAAGCGACCTATGAGACTTATGAGAAGGTGAGATTCGGGCCACACTAGAGGGAGTTCAAGAGTGTTACAAGCAGAGAGAATAGCTAAAGCCACTCACCAAGGCAGGAGTTTGCTTTACATGCTCAAGGAACAGCAAAGAGGGAACAGGTAGAAGGAAAGTGAACGCAGTAGGAGGTCAGAAAGTAAAGCATAGGCTCATCACACAGGGCCTTTCGAGGACTTTGGCTTTTACTCCCAGATGCCCCATAGCAATGTTCTGAGCAGAGATGACATCACCTTACTTATTTTACAAGGTTCACTCTGGCTGCTGTATTGAGAATAGCCCAGAAGAGTGGAAAGCAGGGAGGCCTGTTAGAGGGCTAATGGTGATTCAGAACAGGGTGGTAGCCGCGGGGGAAGTGAAAAGGGATATATTACAAAGGTAGCCGTTAGTTACTACTTTAAAAATACTGGTTATTTTACAGTTGCACATACACATTAGGTAATAGAATTTCATATGGCTAAAATAGGAATAACTGATCTCTGACAGAGTCAGCATTCTTTATATGGCTAAGATTAACATAATCTAATACTATAATCATCATATAAGTTACATTTAAAAATATTATTTTCTTTAAAGCACAGAGTCACACCCTGGTCTGCATTACAACTGCTTTAAGTAGGTATTTACTTATTTACCCAGGGGTCAGGGGAGAGGGAAAGAAAAATTCACTTTTTGTATCACAGTAAGAACTGGGATAAGAATCTTCCTCAATTTTCTGTCCAGTGTTCTTTTTTTCCTAAGTAACCTTTTATGTATAAGACTACTCTTGGAATGTCCCGTGTTCTAGGTAATAACATTCTCTGCATCTGGTTCTGTTCTAGGACACCATTCTTTTTTATGCTCATGTACCTTATTGATTTTATGATGCAGGCTTTGCAGAACCTGTGGCCGCAGGGTGTTTGCACTGCTTCCCGTAGTGCCATCAAGCAGATGGGGCACTCATACTTGCTTTCCAGGGGTGGGTCAAACTCCACGTCATATCCCTGGATCTCTTCCATAAAGGAGGTGGAGAGGGTCCCCGTGCTGGCAGTTCCACTGACGCTGTCATCTTTGGCTGCGGCGCCACAGGAGCTGGCCATGGCAGCACAGCAGTCACTTTCAGACTGGCTGGATGCACAGCTGTTTTCACAGTTTAGCAGACTCATAGTAACTTGATTATCACTTGCTCTGTAGATACAGCAAGAAAAAAATGTCTTAACATACATATACTACACACACACACACACACACACACACACACATCACAGCTTATCTATACAAGTCACCTTTTAGTTCATAAACATTAACTGTGTTAATGTTATTTACAGAAAACTTTTACAAATGTTGAGCTTTGTTTCATGACTACTATTTTATTTATTTTTTCTTTTATTTATTTTGTCAGGACCAAGAGTATCCTGGAACTGTTTTATAAGTTAACTGATATCCTCCTTCAATAAAAATGTACCATCATTTGTACAAAACACTTGGCGCACACAAAGAAATCTGGGTACTTTAAGAAGTTCATGATCTAGCAGAACGACAGAATATAAAGTTAAAAAGGGGAAAGCATCTCAATTGTAATATTCATCTATATCACAATTATTTGTTTATATGTCTGTTTCCTGTGATCAAGGTAAGAAATTTCATTTTCATTTACTTACTACTTAGCACAAGATTTTTCGTATAGGTGTTCAATCAGCAACTGATGAAGAATTTATTCATGTTGCTGAAGTCCCTTCAAGTACTTCAAGCTGAAGAGAACAGCCTGGTAGCAGGGAAGTGCCAGGAAATGCAGTACACAAGGAATCAGGTGATCATGTGCCACTGCTAGATGTGTGATTTGGGGCGAGTTACTTAACTCTTTGGATCTTGGCTTCCTCTTCTAGGTCTAAAATTCTATAGACTTCCAAATGCTCAGTGTGGGGATTTCTCTTATGCAAAAAAAAAAAATAATAATGGAATCGAAAAAGTATATTTTTATGTTCTGCCTTCACAGTCAGGTCAAGTGACTATGTTTCATTATTAATGACTGGAAAAATGAGTGAGGTTTTGTTTGCCTATGGAAAACTATTGCTTTCGTGAACAGATGGGATATCATCAAATTTTAAACTGTTATGGTACTTATAAGTGAGAAGCTAATGTCCAAAAGCAATTCAAGGCTCATGTAATCATATCTCTATTTTAGATAATTACTGGTGGAAAACTCCTAATATGTGCTAGATATCATTCCAGAAATAGAATGTAAGCCTCTAGTCTATAAGATAGACAATTATCCTCCTGCCTGCCTTATTTTTTAAGAAAATTCCTGGCTGCCACTTCACCAAATAGAAGATTAAGACAGTAGTCCTCAATCTTTTTACCACTACAAATGTCTTTTTATTCTCCTCAAAGACTCTGAGTAGCATTTCATGGGCACCTACAAAATATGAGACGCTGTTCTGGCTGGAAGGACAGTACTGAGAACTGGTGATGATGCTGGAACTGGATGATGTGAGTTTAACTCTTTTCTTCTACTTCCAACCCTGTTACTTATTAGATGGGTCTGACTTGGGCAAGTGATACAACCTTTCTGTGCTTCACTTTCCTCATCTGTAAAATAGGGGTAACAGTAAAATCCACCCAAGAGTTACTGAGAGGATTAAATGTGTTACTATGTGCAAAGCACTCAGAACTGTGCCTGGAGGTATGAGTTATTATTACAACAGCTTTATATAGTATTTTATTTAACAGTTTTATTGTTCCCACTTATCAAAGTATAAACTATGGAGCCAAAAAAAGGTTAAATAACTTGCATGGAATTATGCAACTAATAAGTAACAGGGCTGGGATCCAAACCCAAGTCTACCTAACTCCAGAGCCTGTGCATTTTGTACTACACTATGTTTATCCATGTTTTGACAAATCTGCCTATGAGGCTGCATTTAAATTTATTTGCCTTTATATTTATTACACTAGATTAAAGTGCTTACCACAGTCACTATTAAACATGAGCTATCTATTACACTATTGCACTGATTTGACAGAATTTCAAAGAATATGCAAAGAAACTTAGCATTTTACTTGTTTAGTTTTGATACAATATTTTTTGAAAAGTTAAAAATAGCTCCCAAAGCTTTGTTTTATCTGATGTGGACTCCCAGGAAAGGCTCACACAGATAGAGAGGAAGGAAGCAATAGCAAGGTAGTGACAAGCAGCAGAACTATTCATTATATCTGCTCTCTAAGATGGTGTCTAAGGCCCCCTTCTTACCTTCCAAATCTGAGGACAAATGACACTGTTATGCCACACTAGGGTATATATCCTTTGTTATTTTCCTACCATATATAGGTATACTAGGAGATATTTTGGGTTTGGTTCTAGACCATTCCAATAAAGCAAATATCTCAATAAAGCAAGTCACATGAATTTTTTGGTTTCCCAGTACATATAAAAGTTATGTTTACACTATACTTTGGTCTATTAATTGTGCAATAGCATTATGTCTAAAAACTAAATTTAAATCAATTTACCTGAATTTAAAAATATTTTACCGCTAAAAAATAATAACAATCATCTAAACCTTCAGTGAGTCATAGTCTTTTAGCTGGTGGAGAGTTTTACCTCAACGTTGACGGCTGCTGAAGGTGGTGGTTGCTGGAAGCTGGGGTAACTGTGGCAATTTCTTAAAATAAGACAATAACATTTGCCACATCGTGTCCCTTTCATGATTTCTCTGTTGCACATGATGTTGTTTGACAGCATTTTACCCACAGAGAACTTCTTTCAAAACTGGAGTCAATCTTTTAAGCCCTGTCACTGCTTTATCAATTAAGTTTATGGAATATTCTAAACCCTTCATTGTCACTTCAACAATGTTCACAGCATATTAACCAGGAGTAGATTCCATCTCAAGAAACCACATTCTTTGCTCATCCATAAGAAGCAACTCCTCATCTGTTCAAATTTTATCATGAGACTGTAGCAATTCAGTCATATCTTCAGGCTCCACTTCTAATTCTAGTTCTCTTGCTATTTCAACCACATCTGAAGTTACTTACTCCACTGAAGCCTTAAACCTCTCAAAGTCATCCATGTGCGCTAGAATCAAATTCTTCCAAACTCCTGACCTCCTTGCCATAAATCATGAATGTTCTTAATGGCATCTAAAATGGTGAATCCTTTTCAAAAGGTTTTCAATTTACTTTTCCAAGATCCATCAGAGGAATCACTACCTATGGCAGCTACAGCCTTACAGAATGTATTTCTTAAATAAGACTTGAGAGCATCACTCTGCATTAAGTAAAAAAAAAAAAAAAAAAAAGACTTGAGAGCAAAAATGACTTCTTGATGCATGGATGCTGTGTTAGCAGACATGAAAACAACATATTCATCTCCTTGTACATCTCCATCAGAACTCTTCAGTGACCAGGTGCATTGTCAATGAGCAGTAATATTTCGAAAAGAATCTTTTTTTCTGAACAATAGGTCTCAACAGTAGGCTTAAAATATTCAGTAAACCATACTGTAAACAGATGTGGTGTCATGTAGGCTTAGTTGTTCCCTATATAGAGCACAGGCAGAGTAGATTTAGCATAATTCTTAAGGGCTTTAGGATTTTCAGGATGGTTAATGAGCCATGGTTTCAACTTAAGGTCACCAGCTGCATTAGACCTGACAAGAGAATCAGCCTGTCTTTGAGGTTTTGAAGTCAGGCATTGACTACTTCTTTATAGCTATGAAAGTCCTAGATGGCATCTTCTTCCTGTAGAAGGCTGTTTCATCTACATTGAAAATGTGTTGTTTGGTATAGCCATCTTAATCAATTATCTTAGCTAGATTTTCTGAATAACTTGCTGCTTCATCTTGTACTTTTACATTATGGATATGGTTTCTTTTCTTAAACCTCATGAACCAACCTCTGCCAACTTCAAACTTTTCTCCTGCAGCTTCCTCATCTCTCTCAGTATTCACAGAACTGCAGTTAGGGCCTTCCTCTGGATTAGGCTTTGGCTTAAGAGAATGTTGTGGCTAGTTTGCTCTTCTATCCCTGTGGTCCCCAATCCCTGGGCCATGGACCAGTGCTGTCGCTTGCATCACTGCATAAGCTCAGCCTCCTGTCAGATCAGCAGTGGTGTTAGATTCTCATAGGAGCCAGAACCCTACTGTAAACTGCGCATGTGTGGGATCTAGGATGCACTCTCCTTATGAGAATCTAATGCCTGATGATCTGAGGTGCAGCTGAGGCAGTGGTGCTGGCACTGGGGAGCAGCTACAAATACAGATTATCATTACCAAAGAGGTTTGTCTAAACAATAAACGTAATGTGCTTGAACCATCCCCAAACCATCCCTTACCCCTGGTCTGTGCAAAAATTGTCTTCCATGAAACTGGTCCCTGGTGCCAAAAAGGCTGGGGAATGCTGTTCTATCCAGACCACTGAAACTTTCTCCCATATAAGCAATAGGCTGTTTTGTTTTCTTATCACTTATGTTTTTACTGAAGCAGCACTTTTAATTTCTTTTAAGAACTTTTCCTTTGCATTCACAACGTGGTTAACTGGCACAAAAGGCTTAGATTTTGGCCTATCTTGGTTTTGACATGCTTTTCTCATAAAGCTTAATCATTTCTAGCTTTTGATTTAAAGTGAAAGATGTGCTATCTTTCCTTTCACTTGAATATTTACAGGCCACTGTAGGGTTATTAACTGGTCTAATTTCAATATTGTTGTGTCTCAGGTAACAGGAAGGTGCCAGGAGAGGGAGACAGGTGGGGAAATCCCCTTTTGGTAGAGTAGTTGAAACTTTCTCATTTATCAATTAAGTTCACAATCTCATATGGACGTGGTTCACACAACTCAAAACAATTACATACCCACATGGATTAGTGCAAAAAAAAAGAAAAAAAAACCAATTACAATAGTAACATCAAAGATCACTGATCACAGATCACCGTAATGGATATAATAAAATAAAAAAAAATTTAAATATTGCAAGAATTTCTAAAATGTTACATAGGGACATGAAATGAACACTTGCTGTTTAAAAAATGTGGCCAACAGGCCGGGCGCGGTTGCTCACGCCTGTAACTAGCTCTTGGTAGGCCGAGGCGGCGGATGCTTAAGGTAGGAAGTTCAACCACCTGAGCAGAGCGGACCCGTCTCTACTAATAAAGGAAGAAATTAATTGGCCAACTGGATATATATTAAAACAATAGCCGGGCATGCGTGGCGCATTCTTTATCCCAGCTACTCGGAGGCTGAGGCAGAAGGATCGCTCGAGCCCAGGAGTTTGAGGTTGCTGTGAGCTAGGCTGACGCCATGGCACTCACTCTAGCCTGGACAACAAAGCGAGACTCTGTCTAAAAAAAAAAAAAAAAAAAAAAAAAAAAAATGTGGCCAACAGTATTGCTTAACATAAGGTTGCCACGAACCTTTAATTTATAAAGTACACAGTATCTGTGATATACAACAAAGCAAAGCACTACACAAATGAAGTATGCCTGTACATTTTTGTGTCCAATTAATTCCTTAGGTAAATTTCCTAGAATTGCTGGATCAAAGGGTGTGTAACTTTTTAAGCTTTACGATATATAATGCTGCTTATCCCATATGTATCAAAGGCATCCTAATTCTCCCATAAGCAGAGTATTTATGATAAAGCTCATATTCTATACCCTTGACTAGGTATATTTATCTTTTAAACATACATACATACCATACATACATATATATATGTATATATTTTGGAGACAGTCTCTGTCACCCAGTAGAGTGCAGTGCATCATATAGCTAACGCGAACTCAAATCCTAGGTCAAGATCCTCCTGATCACTCCGAAAAGGATAACAGGCCCATACCTGATGCCGCTGTTTTCTATTTTTAGTAGAGATGGGGTCTCGCTCTTGCTCGGGCAGGTTTTGAACTCCTGAGCTCAAGCAATGTTCCTGCCTTGGCCTCCCAGAGTGCTAGCATTATAGGCATGAGCCACCATGTCCAGCCCTCTCTTTTAAATATTTAACCATTTTTTAAAAAGTAAAATCACTTTTGAGAAATTAATATTTGTTATTTGGTTGTACAGTATATCTCAAAGTGCTAGCGAAACGACAAAGGCAAAAGTTACTGAACTAAGTCTACATTTTCTGCCCAAAAGTCCAGTTTAAAATTCAATTTATTGGATAGTCTACATACTGCCTTCTTCCGGTCTTTTTCAAAAGACTTGAAGGTCTCTGGATTTGAAGAAACCTTTATAGCTAAATGTATTCCTATGAAACCTGTCTAATCAGTTACAATTCCTTAAAATGAACTCCACCATGGGACTGCAGTGTAAGACATAAGTGAGCACTCCTTGAAATCTAGATGCCTTCAAGTTTCACATTACTTTCCACGCTTTAAGAACTAATACAGAAGAAGCTTTATATAATGTCTTCCAAATAAACGTTTTCAGATAATCACTAAGTCAGTATACACTACACTACACTACACTACTGTATACAGTATACACTACCATGTAACTTACTGCAAAGGGAAAATTAAGCTAAAAACAGAATTTTGAGTGCCTCATTTAATATTTTTATGTTTATTTTTTCTTTGGCAAATTAAAATATTTTTTTCTCCTTTACTTTTAAGGATCACAATGACTTAATGGAAATCACCTTCCTAACTTAACTACAATGAATAAGCTATTGTAATTAACACTAAGAGAAGAACTAAGAGTGCTTTATGTCTGCTGTAGAAGTGAATAAAAAATGATCTGGCATGTATACAGAAAATATTATGCTCTACTAGGATTCTCTTTACTTTTTAACCTCATACCATCATAGGAACTGATACAAAAGTAGGCTGAGACAGACCGAACTTTGGCTTTACAGAAGGAAGAGAATGTTTTTGTAAAATAAAACAAAACTTTCCTACAGCCTTTCTACTCATCTTTGTGGCTTTCTATATGAATAGAAGGGATAAAACAAAGTTTAAATCTTAACTTGTATGTTAAGAACTTCATGACTGCAATTCCATTTTTGCAGATGTGAATCTAGTAAGGTAAGCACTGCCTTAATTAAATATTGTGGGATATAACCACTGCCAACTTATTTTAACTGCAAAATGAATAAATAAAAACAGCCTTGCTGTTTAAATCCATAAATTAATATCTGGATATACATTATAATCCAAAGAGAACACTGTTAAATGTTGGAGCGGCATGGAGTAGGGTGATATGCAAAAACTTTCTCCTCTAAGACCAAAAGATGCCAATGAGATTTGTACCAAACTAAAGAAATCAACAAGCTATGTCTTGAATAAGTCAATTTTAAGTCAACAGAAATTCATACATGAGTAAACATACAACTCATTTAAGAAAAACCATGTGAAAGAAAACACTGAGAAATTAGCTTGAATTTGCTACTAGCTTCAGAAACAGGAACTATTTACAAACTTAAAATCTATTCCCACAGTGCAAAGACCTGCAAATGTGCTGCACAATATTCAGTTGTTGTGCCTTAATTCTGAATCCAAATTCAAGAGGCATTCTCCTTCCTTGGCACTATTTGTTCTCCTCCAGGAGGCAAGGATTTGAACAACTTCTTTCAAAATCAACGTGGCCAAAAATTTATCAGCACCACATTACATATCCAAATTGACCACATAAAAGACCTCATGTTACAGTTCTGAAATACTGTGATGTATATAGTGCATGAAGGTGGAAACTCGAATGTGATCCTTGTACCCATCACATGGGCAACCAGTGTCTGAAACACATTCCCTCCTTGAGTCATAAGAGGCCACGCTGTCCTTACCAGACCCTCAACTTCAAAAACAGAAACGCCCCTCTACCTTCCCTAGTAATCAAAGGATTGAAAAGACGAAATGCCAGCAGCCAAGTTACAAGTTTTTCTCTTTTCTATTTACTACCTGTGTAGCAACACATTTTGTAATCTGCCCCCAGAGAAACAAAAGAAATACTATAGAACCACGCTGCTAATACTTTAGGTGCTTTCAGTTCACATTCAAGACAGTCCTAACTCTCAGCTGGATTTCCCCTAAAGCCAAATACTAGGAACAGCTTTATCAACCCAGCGTCTGGAACAATCGCTAGAACTACCGAGTGCAGGGGCGGGGGAGGAAACAGTCGTGTCATCCGAACTTTTTTTTTTTTTAACTTGCTGCCTGGGACCACTGTAGAGTTCGACAGGGAACCCCAAAATAGCTGTCCCCTGACAGTGACAGAAGGAGTCGCTGGGAATTCAAAGGGATTTTTTCCTTTTTCAAATTAAGAAGGTAACAGTTCTGAGGGACGGGAAAATCCAGAAGGCAATTTCCTTTTCTGGGAAGGGGAAAAGCGGGGTGAGGGGAAGCAGGTCTGAGGAAACTGGGGCTTCCTCCGGGGAGTGGAGTGAGCGAGGAGGTGGCGGCCGGGGCAGCGGAGGTGACTGCAGAGGGGGCGGCGTCCCTGACCAGCAGCAAGCGAGGGGCCGGGGACGGCGTCCCCCAGCTGTGGGGAAGGAAGCTGCAGCCGCCAAAACGCGCCCGGAGGGGACTCACCGCTCGAGTGCGCTGGGCCGCTCAACAAGGCGCGCAGGGCTCCACCCAGCCGCACGGCTCCGCTCAGCCAAGGCGCCGGAAAAGGGTGGACACCGCGCTCTGAGGCGAGGCAGCCCGGACGCCAATCTCCAGGGCCAAGGACCAGAGCCACTGTGTCCGCGGGCCGCCCGGAGCCGGAGCCCCAGCCGCGGACACTGTTGCTTCCGCCTTCTCTGATCGCTGCGAAGAGCGAGAGGCGGGCCGTGCGCGGAGTAGGACACGGAGCGGCCGCGTCGGGCGAAGGCGCCCCCTGGCGGCGGTCCTCCACGGCGCGGGCTGCGGCGCAGGCGCAGGCGCAGGGCGGGCCCAGCTGTCAACCCAGCGCAGTCCGCCTCGGCTTCCCCTCCAGCTCCGGTGCCCCACCTGGGAGTTCCTTTCGCCACAATCCGGATCTGGAGTGTGTTTGTGTGTGTGTTGCGAGGAGGTGGTGGGTATGGCTTGCGATAAGATCGATGGCCGTGAAGAAATCAGTCCCGGAGTGACTGTGATTTGGTGAGCAGTCGCGACAGATGTAATCCCACACTGAGTTTTAGCAGCTTCCCAGTCCGAGCAGGAGAAAACCCCAAGCGGGCTAGATCGCTTTACCCTGGGGAATTCTTAAATCCCTTCCTAACTCCGCCCTCCTTACCATGGAAGTTTCCGCGAGAGACGGAATCTTCTATTATCGCCTTTGCTTCCTCCTCATCCAGTCCAAGGGAGTCAGCCCATGCATTAAACATCTCTGTGAAATTGCCGGCAACCACACCAGCCCCTTTTTCTGTCATTGTCATGGGAAAGCTATTTTGAATTTCTTGTCTAACTGGACATAAATGGGTAGAGAATATAACAGGGATTTGCCAGGAGATGCACAGAAGATTTCCACCCACCTCTGAAAAAGTGGCTCGTCGTCCACCTCTTAGGGGAGCTATTGCAGGGTGGTGTGTGCCTATCCTGAAACAAGACGGGTTCAAATCCGGTTTTTCCCCTTAGTAAACTGTATGACTTAGATAAATTGCTTAACCTGTACTTGTTTCAGTTTTCTCATCTCATATTAACATGGGAATAATAATAGTACCTACCTCATAGGGTTTTTGAAAGGTGAGATAATTTAAAATATGTAAATAAATTATTCAAAACTATCTGGAACATAATGTGGGCTCAAGAAATATTAACAATACTGTATGTTTTGCATTCTGGCTGCTAATATTCATAGAAAATGCTTCTCTTTTCAAGATAAGAATCTGTCACTGGTTCTCAGATTCTATTGACCCCCTTTTAAAAAAATATTTTGCAATATTTAAGACATAAAAAGTGTAAAGAACTATACACAAACATTTGTGTACTCACCACCTAGCTTAAGAAATAAAATATTGCCATTAAAATTGTCAAATTGTCAGCCTTTGTTTATCCCTCCCCAGTGTCTCCCCTTATAAAAATAAATCCCTTGTGGCAGGGGTCCCCAACCTATGGTAAGTTATGTAATTATTTCATTATATATTACAATATAATAATAACAACAGAAATAAAGTGCACAATAAATGTATTGTGCTTGAACTATCCCGAAACCATCCTTCCCATCCAGTCTGTGGAAAATTGTCTTCCATGAAAATGGTCCCTGGTGCCAAAAAGGTCGGGGAGTGCTGCCCTATGGAATAGAAAAGAGATCACTACATGAAATTGAGAGATGGAAAAAATGAAGAGCAAGGGAGTCAGAATTCCCTCCACTTATTAATGTGAGCTCTGGGGCAAGTTATATAATCTCCAGGAGCTGCAACGGCCAAAAACCACGTAAAAGCGGATAATGTCTGCCTTACCGGGCTGTTGTCAGAATCAACTAATAAAAACCTATTGTGAGAGAACCCAGCACTGGGCTTTCAAAAAGATTAGGTGTTCTCTATGTGTTTCTTCACATTGTTTTCATAAGTGTCCTCGAAGGGCCTCCTCCTACTTCTATGAATCCAATCTATTCTTCACTACCTTATATATAGTGGAGAGTTTTGGTGCTCATCCACCCATTGGCACACAGGAAACTCACAATTCCCTGTCCCCTTGCCCTAGGGAACTAGGGAGAACTAGGGACTAGTTCTCCCCTGTGGGCTATGAGGAGAAGGATGCATGTGCTTTCTTGGCCAAAGCATTTGATTTTCATTGCAAGCCTCTGTACGACCAAGGAGGCCATGGGGCAGCTATAATAGGGGAGAGATATATCACTAAATTGATGTATGGTGGGCAGTTGCCTTGGAAAGTCAACCCAGTTGCATCAGACTTATATGAGCAGGAAACAAATCCCTGTTGTTTTAAGCCATTGAGATATTGGGGCTGTCTTTTCTGCAGTATAACTTAGCCTATCTTATGCACAGCTCCTTCTCTAAATCTTTTCTGATACTAGGAACCAGAAAACTAAGATTCTACTCTTGGTTCTGCCCCTCTTTAAAATTGGTCAGGTGTCCTCAACTATAACATTGGTGTTAAATCTACCCTGTCTTCTTTTCGGAGCTGTTATGAGTTCAAATGAGATCATATGTAAAGATACTTTGTGAACTAGGAAGTCCTAATACAGATGGAAAGAATTGAATATTCCAATTAGTAGGGTTACCTGTATACAGCAACCACAATGCCCAGGTTTTATGAAAAGCTGCTAATTTAAAATATTTTGTCCAGTTGTCCTTATAAGTAAATCCAATGTAAACAAAAATACAGTCACCATAGCTGCTATGGTTTGAATGTGTCCCCTAAAGTTCATGTATTGGAAACTTGACCCCCAATGTGGTGTTATTGGGAAGTGGGGTATAACAAGAGGTATTTGGGTCATGGGGCCACCATCCTCATGAATGGATTAATGACATTATTACAGGAGTGGATTAATTATGGCAGGAGTGTGTTCCTCATAAAAGGAAAAGTTGGAGGCCGGCGCTGTGGCTCACGCCTGTAATCCTAGCTCTTAGGAGGCCGAGGCGGGCGGATTGCTCAAGGTCAGGAGTTCAAAACCAGCCTGAGCAAGAGCGAGACCCCGTCTCTACTATAAATAGAAAGAAATTAATTGGCCAACTGATATATATAAAAAAAAATTAGCCGGGCATGGTGGCGCATGCCTGTAGTCCCAGCTACTCGGGAGGCTGAGGCAGGAGGATTGCTTGAGCCCAGGAGTTTGAGGTTGCTGTGAGCTAGGCTGACGCCAGGGCACTCACTCTAGCCTGGGCAACAAATCGAGACTCTGTCTAAAAAAAAAAAAAAAAAAAAAAGGAAAAGTTGGGTTCCCTCTTCTCTTTCTCTCTATCACCCTATTTTTGCCCTTCCACCATGGGATGACACAACAAGAAGGCCCTTGCTAGATGCTAGCCTCTTGATCCTGGACTTCCCAGCCTATAGATCTGTAAGCCAATAAATTTCCATTCATTCTAAATTACCCTGTGGCATACTGTTATAGCAGTACCAAACAGACCAAGACAGTATCATTCCTAGATTGCTCTTTTTCACATCGTATTTGAAAAATGAAATATGATATACTTTGTCAGTTGGTGGAGATTAGGGTGGGAAGGTGAGAGTTTCTTCCCCAGACATTTGGAAATAAGCTGGTTGTCTAAGAGTTAAATTGTAAGATTAAGCCACAATTCATGACCTCAAAATACATTTATCAAACAACAATTATGGGTGTGTATAGCAGCCAGCCTTGAAGATGGTATTTATGCCTATGTATAGTTCCCCTTCTCAATAAATAGGGCTGACTCATGTAAACAATAGGATATTGTGGAAATGACAGAATGTGATTTCCTAGGCTAGGCTGTAGAAGACATTACAGCTTCTTTCTTACTCTCTCTTAAATTAATTGCTCTAAGGGAAGGCTTGCCCATTGGAAAAACTCCCATAATGAGCAACTGAGCCCTCCTGCCAACATCCAGAAGACTGCTGATGGTTCCTGCCAAAGCCTTGTGAGTGTATTATCTTGGAAGTGGAATTCTAGTCCCAGTCTAGCCTTCAGATGATGCAGCACCAGCCAACATCTTGACTATAACCTCACAAGAGACCCTAAGCTGGAACCATCCAGCTAAGCTGCCTCTGAATTCCTGACCTACAGCCTCCTAAAAACAGGTAGAAACTTTCTCACACCAGAAGTGAGAAGAACAAGAAAGTAGATATGCTAGTCTTTGATAAAATTGCAGACAAGAAAGAACAAGTCAATCAGAAGAAGAATTAGATATGATGGAACCTAGAACAAGGTAAAAGAGATTGATCCACTGTGCCATTTCCTATGTACATTCTGCTTGGAGGAGGGGGTGCTCTGGGTCAAAATTTCCCCCTAGCTGTCCATTTCCGAAGGCAGGCATTTTGGAGATGGCCCCAAGTCATTAACCTGTGAGTTGCTAAAGGAATTACCTACTAAATGATTTAATGATTGCTCACAGTGTCAAAGAAGCACATGAAGGAATGTTACCCAATAGAAGATTCTGGCCTTGGAAGACACTCCAAGTACAATAAGTTTTTGGTCTTTCCTCCCTCTTTTCCATCCTCCCTACCACCCCACTCCACCATAATGAGGGAAAATGTTCAGAGCTGAAGGAGGAGGAGGTGATGATAAGAGAGTAATGGGAGACACAGAGGGGAAGATGTGTGGGCATGTGTGTGTGCAGAAGGGCTCCCAGGGAGACTGCATGTCTTACTAAACAGGCTTCAGAGTTGTGCCTTTGGCTCAGCCAACTGTCCAGGCTGGAAACAGACTCGGAGCCACTAGGAGGCATAAGTTTAGTTTTGGAATCACCTTGAAATCTACAGAAGTTCTCCAAATTGTCCAAGACAATGCGCTTTCTTTGGTAAAACTCATCTACTAGCAGGGAGCAAAAGTACTTGCCCTTCCTCCCCACTCTCTTCCCCAAATCCTGATCAAGAACTTTAGCTTTTTGTGGCCACACTCATTTTTTCCTGCTCTTGGATAAAGGAGGAATCTAATTTTTTCTTCATTTGGGAGAGAGGGTAAGGTGGGTACATTTCTACTACACTGGGGCCAGTTTTTTCTTAGTTTCACCACTATTCATCACACAATGTTGAGATGATAAATTGGCCTAATTAGCTGCTTCCTTGAGGAAAAGAATATACCAGTCAGAGGATGTGAGTATCTGAACTACTTGTGAGTTATAGTTTTAATGCAAATGGATTGATTGTGTCTGATTTGTGTATATGTTGCCTGGGAGCTGAGTTACCATGCAGGCACACTGTGTAGAT